TAAAAGAAAAAAATAAAAATAGCATGTATATGTTATTTCCCTGTTCATATATGAGTTTATTTCTGTCTCTGCTAGTTCCTTTATGTATATTAAATATATTTAAAAGGATGCTTGGGATGATGCTCACCAGATATTAACACTTGACGGGTTGGGATATTTGTTACTTTCTTCTTTATACTTTTTGTGTGGTTTGCATTTTTGAAATAATGGACATATATTGCTTTATAAGTCATTACTTTTTAAAAGGGGTATTCATATCATTATCCAAGAAAGGCCCACTTGGCCCCCCAAATCAGCAGTCATGCTTTCTACTGTGTGTAAGGGATTCTTAAGTGTTCATTTTGAGATACCCTAGTATGTCTAAAACTTTCTAAATTCTCAATTTTTTAGTACTAACTAATTTTGAAAAAAACTTTATAGAAAAGTAAGTGCTTGACTAGACAAAATTTGGGTCCAGGCACAGTGGCTCATATCTATAATCCCAGTGCTTTTGGAGTATTGCTTGAGGCCAGAATTTGGAGACCAGCCTGGGCAACAAAGCAAAACTCCATCTCTATAAAAATTAAAAAATAAGCTGGACATGGTGGGATGTGCTCGTAGTCCCAGCTACTTGGGAGGCTGAGGTAGAAGGATCACTTGAGCCCAGGAGTTCAAGGCTGCAAAGAGTCATGATCTTGCCACTGCACTCCAGCCTGGGTGATGGAGTAAGACCCTGTTTCTTAAAAAAAAAAAAAAAAAGTGAGAGGGAATTAACAGCATAATTTGAAATCATGCCAGTGTGTCTTTGTAGCTGCATCATTGTACTGTATTCATTTTGAATTACTTTATTTCAGCAAATTACAAAAATATTTGCTTATATCATTCCAGTGTCTATCCCACATTGTCCTATTCTGTGAGAGAATTCCCATAATTTTTGTCCTGTGGACTATTAAGCCAGTATATACAATGACCCAGTGGCACTATAGAAGCTATCTAGAAGATAGTTTTTATACCTACTACATCAGCTTCCTTTAAGACTTATTTTTACCTTTTACTTTCAATCTCTCCTAGTCTATAATCCCAATAGGGTAAGTTATTATGTTAGGGATAATCATAAATATAGTGTTTATTATTGAAGGTTTTGTAGTCTGACCAGTGTTGACTCCCCAACCCTCTACAATCCCTGGCCAAATAATTTGACTTGTTTATGAGTTCGAATTTCCTCCTCTGGAAAAGTGCATATAATAATATCAACTTCAGAGAATTTTGACCTTTTAGTGACACATGTGAATTTTGTTTGTGAAACAATAATAAAACATAACAGAAAACTAACCCTGGTTTTAAATGAGATAAGGATTTTTTAAATTTAATGCAGTAAGGCAGCCAGGCATAGATAGTCCAGAGTTGGTAGAGCAGCTCAGTAATGCCATCAGGCACTGGGCTCTTTTCATCTTAGTGCTCTGCCACCCTTAGTTTATACATTGGTTTTGTCCTTAAATGTTTTGCCTTATAGTCACAAGATTGCTGCTGCTTCCTGGGTAGGAAGTAGAAAGGGAAGTACCACAGACAAAAGTGTCTTTGTCCCAGTGAGACTTGGCCTTTTTATTGATGAAACAACCTTCCTAGGAACTTTTGTCTGCATTTCATTGTTAGGGTATTCTACTTGCAAAAAGTCCTAAAAATCAAATACTTTTAGCTGGGCATATTGTAACTCTGATCAAAATTGGAATATTCCTGATAAGGGGAGAATGAATATTATATAGGCACCATACAATATCTGCCACTTTATATAAAGTATACAATAATCAATAACTGATAACTTTTGTCATCTTTAGTAGTTAAATAAGGGTTTCTACCTAAGGGAACTTTATTCTTGCACTGTCAGTCATAAAATCATACTTAAATTCTTTCGTAGTCTTACGGCATCCAAGGGAAAGCCGTAATCCCTTAATGTGAAAGTATTGAATGGCTAGAGTCTCTTCTTGGCCTTCAGACTAAATTTGCAGTTATTTTGTTGTTAGCAGTGCTATCAAGAGCATCTTTGCAGATTGTGTTTTTGTCATACAATAAATTATTTCCTTATTCCTAGGAGTAGGGTTACAGTGTTAAGAGTTGAACATTCTTCTGTTGTTATTGATATTTCTCCAAAATAATCATACCTACTTACAAAGCCTCTAGCAGTATAAATGTTCTTTAATCTCAAATGGCACTGGGGAATGTGTTTTACATCATCATTTTAGTTTGCATGTTTAGATAACTAGAAAGTGAAATATCCTTCAGTTTTTGGTTTTTTTTTAGTATTTGTTTCCTATTAGTAAGCATTATTTATTTGCTTATTCATTTAGGGGGGGCATTTTAGATAATGTGGTATGAGAAAATTCAAAGAGGCATAGTATGATCTGTTCCCAAAGTCCATGGTCACAGTTGTAGAGCATGTTGAAATTTAATAAACTGAATCTTCACCAGCTAGCCTTAGAAGTTCTATTTTTCCGAAGACTTTAGATGCCATTATTTACCTTATTTAATGTGACTCAAACAGATTTGGAGAGAGGCACTTCTTTTAAAAAGAAAACAAATAGATATAGTTTTTCTGGAAACTGTTAAAATAGCAGATAAACTCAATGCTATGCTTAATAAAAATAATCACCTTTGGTGATTTTCATAGCAATTATTTATTACACATTGTCCCCTATTCCCTCCCTGATACTTTAATAATTTCAAACATGTAGTGCAGACTTAGATCATTCTTCATATTTTTTCTTAGTATCTTTCAACCCAAAGCAGAATATTAACTAAAAGATTGCCTTTAAAATACAGGTATTGGTTGGGCATGGTGGCGCACACCCGTAATCCTAGCACTCTGGAAGGCCCATATATGGGAGGGTCACTTGAGGTCAGGAGTTTGAGACCAGCCTAAAGAAGAGTGAGACCCTGTCTCTAATAAAAATAGAAAAAATTAGCCAAGGGTGATGGTGTGCCTGTAGCCCCAGCTACTCGAGAGGCTGAGACAAGAGGATCCCTTGAGCCCATGGATTTGAGGTTGCAGTGAGCTATGATGATGCCACTGCACTCTAGTCTAGCTGGGCAACAGAGCAAGACTGTCTCCTCCCACCCCACCTCCCCAAAAAAGCAAAACAGGTGTTGCTTGTCTTGCCTTGCTATAAAGGAACATATCAGGGAGAGAGGAATGAATGCTCTCCTTAGTGCTCAGTGTTTTACATTAGTCTCATTAATAGCAGTAGTCTCATTCAGCCTTGCCTCAGTATAGCATAGAGAGAAGAAGTAATTGAGTAAAAGGACAGGATGTGGAAGCTTTAATTTTCCAGCTCCTGAATTAAATTTTTACAGAATACATATTCAGATGTCCCAACTATAAACCTGCTTACGTGAATAAAAACCAAAGGGTATGTGGGGTCAGAGTGAATTGGTTACTTCCAAAGAAAGATTTAGATAAACTGTTAAACTACTTCCCTATATTAATGAATATAATTATAAGTTCAGTTTATACACTGTGGTTTAATCTGTTAAAAAATAGTATGATTTGTTTTCAGTAATCTATTTAACCTATTAATAGTCCACACAGTTTATTGACTGCCACTTTCTTTGCAATCTGTGGAGGTCATTTTAAATTCTTGTGTGTGTGTTTTTTTTTTTTGAGACAGAGTCTCACTTTGTTGCCCAGGCTAGAGTGAGTGCCATGGCGTCAGCCTAGCTCACAGCAACCTCAAACTCCTGGGCTCAAGCAATCCTCCTGCCTCAGCCTCCCACGTAGCTGGGACTACAGGCATGCGCCAACATGCCTGGCTAACTTTTTCTATATATGTATTAGTTGGCCAATTAATTTCTTTCTATTTATAGTAGAGATGGGGTCTCGCTCTTGCTCAGGCTGGTTTTGAACTCCTGACTTGGAGCAATCCACCCGCCTCGGCCTCCCAGAGTGCTAGGATTACAGGCGTGAGCCACTACGCCCGGCCTGTGTGTTTTTAAATGAAACATCAAATGTTTTTCATGTAATTCTTTTGTATTTGCTAACTTACGGTGTTAAGTTTTGAAATATGTGTTCATTGAAAGTCTTGTCATTCAGTCCATTTACCCACTTCAGAATTGGTCTAAAAATGTTATTTTATTAATGATTACCCTTTAATTGAGTGAACCTTTTTATCACTAAACTTTTAGGCTTATCTCTATAGCTTTCAAATACTGTGTTTAGGAGTTACTTGTTCTCTAAGCTTTCTTTTTGAACACTTGATTACTGAAATCATGAATAGTATCTATAATAGTGATCCTGGAAAGAAAGGTATATGTCAATAAATTGAGAATATGAAGATCAGAATAATATTGTAAGTTGAAATGGCATATTTTTTAATAAGTAGAAGTATCTACTCTGGCCATATTGCTGAAGTCAATTCTCCATATTCTTATTTCTCTATCATAAATTGTTAGACAGAATTCTCTAATCTTAACTGATAAACGTTGTTTTGATTTAGGCTGCTTTCTTTCTAAGAGGTCTTCTATAATGGTGATCATTGTAGTAATTTATACCATTTGAGATGCATATAATTGATAGAAAAGTCTGTAATCCAGGATGATATTGCAGTCCAAAGTCTTCAATTGTCTTTGGAGTAGTTTTGACCCTCATAGAACAAAAAGAGTAATTCAAGTTTTCTGAAGACAAATTCTAACCAGAAATCCAGTTGATATAGTACTACTCCCTCTTCTGTTGTTTGTCAGAGATTGAAAATTATATAGTATGAAAAGAGATGGTATGTTTTAATAAATAACATCGATAATATCTATTATTGAAACTGCATGGTTAAATTTCTCAGCTGTAAGATACTGAAATCTTAGGTGTTGGCCATATCTGTATTTTAAACATACTTTTGGCTTTATCTTAAAAATAGTCTTTTGGAAAAACAACAATAGATCATTAACTGGTGGTCTTTTGAAAATGTTGGTTTGTTGAATTCTGCATTTCCCTTCGTGTGCTTTTTTCTTTTCTCCTGTCTCTTTTCATTCTGTAGATTCAGATCCAGGACATACAAGTGAAAATTGGGGGGAGAGACTTATATCTTCTTACAGGACGTACTCAGGTAATTAGATTATCAGGTGCTCCTGTTTAGCCAGTGGTTTCTGTCACATTTATAATTAATTATTGTATGATAAGTAACTTATATTCAAACCAATATATAGGTATCTTTGGTTAAATAATGAACTATATGAGTGACACCAAGTTTTCCCAGTTTTGTTCTGAGATATCGAGTATATCATATCCAACATATTATAGCAGGACTGCTGTACACCTCCACTCCGATTTTGTACAGCACAACATGGGGAACACCATTCATGTGAAAGTCAACCCCTGGCATTTTATAGTGCAGGGGAAGATACTCCTTAGGATAGGTCCTTCATCTATTTTGTTATATAATACCCTTCACAAGGTATACCAAGAGTACTGATTTTGATAGACAGTATTCTCTTACCCTTTTAGTCATGTGATTTTTTTAAAAAACACATTTAAAAAATTTTTTTCAGTTGAACTCCTCATTAGTCTTTATTGACTTTGCCACCCAGGTTGAATTCACCTGTAAGTGAATTAAAATACCAGGTTACCTGGAGAAATACCATTTACCTGTGTTGGAACTTCTCTGTTCAGCCATGGCACCAGTTACTGTATGTTTCTGATTCATAATTGCTCTAGCTAGAAGAATAGAAGAGAATATATAAATGCTGTCACTTTAAAATAAAGAGTAAATATATTCTCTTATATGTGAAAACTAATTAGTTAAAAGTTTTGATTGTCCTTTTTTTTAATGGGCTAACATTTTTATCTCTGAACTTTTGAAAATTATACTCTCTAGTCCCTAGTTCTAAGTGTCCAGTTTTTAGCATGTGACATTTAGCTATTAAAACTGAAATAAATTTTCTGTTTCTGATATGGTTTTTATTTACTTTTAAATTTGTTGGGTTGGGTGGAGGAGTGATAGAACCCAGTAAATATCCTTAAAATTATCCTTCAAGTTGTTAATCGAGGTGATAAGTCAGTAGTACCTGGCTACTATCGTAAAGGTGGGGGATGAGGCATAGTTACAGTTAGTTACTGTGGAATAAGGTGTACGTTTTTTAAAGGTGACTTCTAAGCACCAATATGCACCTGAAAGATCTGAATGTAGATAAAACCATCCATGATCTGAGTATTAAGGCAAGAAATCAAAAGATAAAAACATTCAACTGTTCCTAGCACTCTGAGAGGCTGAGGAGGGCGGATCACTCAAGGTCAGGAGTTCAAAACCAGTGAGAGCAAGAGCAAGACCCTGTCTCTATTAAAAATAGAAAGAAATTAATTGGACAACTAAAAATATATAGAAAAAGTTAGCCGGGCATGGTGGTGCATGCCTGTAGTCCCAGCTACTCTGGAGGCTGAAGCAGGAGGATTGCTTGAGCCCAGGAGTTTGAGGTTTCTGTGAGCTAGGCTGACACCACGGCACTCTAGCTCAGGCAACACAGTGAGACTCTGTCTTAAAAAAATAAAAATAAAAAGTAAATAAACATGACTTTATAAGTTAAAAAAAAAAATTCAGCTGTTAAAGATTCATGTAGATATTTTAGAACCAGAGAGTGATGGCAAAATTTTTTTCTCAGAATTGAAGTATACACATTGTTGTAAACAAGATTTATTTCATTGTGTTTATCTCTATTTGAATTGTAGTTCCATTGTTTCATTCCTTACACAATGACTAATTTTTGACACACTGATTATGAACCTAGACCCCCCCCCAAGAAAAACAATTTTGTCTCTTCTCCTTAATATATACTCTACACTTACTTAGGATGTGACAGTGTTGAGCTTTCTATTTATTCTAACAAGACCTGAAAAAGAAAGCATTAATTTTCGAGGTTATAAGAATGGGACATCTGTATTTCCGAATATCCTCTGAACCTTAAAAGAACAAATGTTGGATTGTTGAAAAGTCCATTTCTCTGTTTGCTTTGAATAGTCTTAAGTGGATTTGTTGGATTTTTCCTTAAAAATCTCTATGCTGTCTGAGTGGAATTTCAAGTTTATAGTAGACTGTGCTAAATGAGCACATTTTTCAGAATAACTATATTCAAACTTCAGAGTTCTGACCTATTAGGAGAAAAAAATACATCTTACAACTGAATCTTGAGAAGTATCTAACTCTTTATCAAATATATAGTATATCATGCATATCTAACCTATCATTTTTTAGTTATGACAGGTCAGAGGAGACAGATTCTTCACAGGATAGATAAATAGTCTTGTTGACTGCTTTAAACCTGAAAAAGCATACTTTGGGACATATTAATCTAGCACTTTCACCGTTGAAGAATGGTATAGTTGTCTGTAACCTAGCTACCAGCTACTGTTCACTTTTCTTATCTGTTTCATGCAAAACATGAAGTCAGATAAATGACTATTGTAACTTGATTAAAGCAAAAATAGAGTTCATGTTGGATGTTAGCATCTAATTTGGATTTTTGTTTTAAATATTTGGAGTATATCTAATTTGTTCTTCTCCAAAATATAATAATTATATCTTTGATAATTTGGCAGCATGGCATTCTAATAATGAATTTATAAGTATTTTTTATTGTCACCTAGGTATATATCACTTTAGAGAGCATTTTTTAAAAACACATTGTATTAAAATGCAGTTAAAACAAAAAAGTCAGTTGTTTTGCAAATAAAAAGGCAAAATTTTCTCCAGATCTATTTTAAGGATAGATATTAAGTGGTTTTGTTTCCTCTGATTGCTAGATTTACTTCTTTTCCATGAACCATCTTTTCTACCTTCTGTAGAATTTTCACAATGTTAAATGTATTAATTTTAGGAGAAAAATTTTAAAATTTGTTATTCAGATGGAAAACCATTAAAATAATAATTGTGGTTCCTCATTAAATGGAGAACCAACATGTCTAGAAAATTATTAAAAGAAAGAGTATATATACATTTCTGGAAAAAATAGGCTTCTCCAAAGACCTGTTCAGGGCTTTGTAATAAATTTAGTGATAAGTTATGTAAAATACTGTGCTGAGATTGGATTTACATTAAATTACATCATTAAATTACATCATTTCATAAGAAATATGAAAATAAAAGATTATACTGGAAAATATTAATAAAAGTCGATTTAAACAAGTGTTGACATTTTTGTTTTTGTGTAAAATGAAATATTCAACAAAATGGACATTTTAGGAGCTGTAGAATTTTGAATGATTTGTGAGCAGCAGAGATTAAATATTAGGACCTCTAATTTTTCTAGGCCATTAGAATGCCAGTTTATCCTAGTTAACTTAAGTGGTACACTGGAAGAATTATGACTTTAATTTCTTACGCCTACTAATACTAGGTTTTCATAATAATTAGTTTCTTAAAACTTGCCAGATTAGTAAATGCTGATCTCTTAGAGTATTCTAGCTGCTGGCCACATGTGCCTGAACGAAACCGCTATATTGACAACTGATCCTTCCCTTCTTCCACTCATTTTTGCTATGTTACATTTATTATTTATTTTACTTATTTATTTTTGCAGCTCCTCTTTGCAGGTACCCTTAAACCTGGATCAGTAAATTCCAGGTATTGATATAGGGTTTTTCAAGAAATAGATTCCTAGGCTGCGCACAGTGGTTCATGCCTGTAATCCTAGCACTCTGGGAGACCGAGATGGGTGGATTTCTCAAGGTCAGGAGTTCAAAACCAGCCTGAGCAAGAGCAAGACCCCGTCTCTACTAAAAATAGAAAGAAATTAATTGGACAACTAAAAACACATAGAAAAAGTTAGCTGGGCATGGTGGCACATGCCTGTAGTCCCAGTTACTTTGGAGGCTGAGGCAGAAGGATTGCTTGAGCCCAGGAGTTTGAGGTTGCTGTGAGCTAGGCTGACACCATGGCACTCTAGCCCGGGCAACACAGTGAGACTCTGTCTCAAAAATAAAAAAAAAAGAAAGAAAAGAAATAGATTCCTAGATAGGTAATAGCCAGACCTCTGTATAAGCTTGTACAGGGCCTGCATTAACTCCTAGAGAAGTCTTAAAAGACAGACATCTATATCTCTTACTTACAAAATTCAGTCTGAATTTCCTCACACTTAGTGGGGAATGCAGGCAGCATTGCTGAAGAATTTCCCTAATAGTTAAATCTGAGAGCTTACTGTGATACGGATCAGATCTCTTTGAAAGTTTGTCATGTTTTAGATCTGTGCAGAATCTCTGCTAAACCTGTAGCTACACAGAATCTTTAATTTGCTCATTTTTAGCTCTGATTAATATAATTTCACATCCAACTATCACATGACTGGAATAAAATAATTTGGTGCTTTTTTTCAGTAATTATTTTGTGTGATGAGACTTGTCGTAAATACTTAGTCGTTTGAGAGATTGTACAAATCATTACTGGAATTAGGAAGGTAATTTAAAGGAGCATTGATACATAGGTTTAGATGTAATTAAGAAGGATAAAATTATAGTGAATGAAAGAGAAGTTTCAAAGATGTAATACTAAGGAATGTTAAATATTATTGAAGAAGTTTAGTTTTACTAGAACAAATCATTAAAGTACAGATTTTACTAGGAATAAATTTACAAATGTTATTCATTTTCTGAAAACAATAGAATTAATGTATTTTTTCAAAGCATTCAGAAAGAAAATTGTTTACATAATATAAAAGCCCATTCTTTTGTCTGGCTATTGCTAGTGGACATGTATAGCATCAGTCAAAAAAGTCATTTTATGTTTGCTTTTGAATACTTCCATTTGTGTCAAATTCTTACATATTTATTAATAATTCCAGAGAAAGAAGGTCCAGAAAAGAAGAAAACCAAAAAGGAAGCTGGAAATAAGAAATCCACGCCAGTTAGCATTCTTTTTGGTTATCCACTCTCTGAGCGAAAGCAGATGGCACTTCTTATGCAGATGACAGCGAGAGACAACAGTCCAGGTGAAACCTACCATCATTAATTTGTATCCTTAGTTTTCCTCAGACAACTCTAGCCTTGTCTTTATTAACAAGTATTTTTAACTAGTTTAAATTTTTATCTTTTCTTGGATTTAATCAGAATTCCTCGTAACATCAGTTTGTAATTTTATGATTTATGATTATTTATGTAATTTATCAGTTTGTGACAATTCATTTATCAGCTATATCCTCCATTAAATTAGAAGCCATACAAGAGCAGGGGTCTTTGTACTTAGTGAATATTCGGTAAGTATTTGTTAAATAAAATAAGTCATTTAGAAAGGGATTAATCAAGTTGATAAATCTATTGGAGAACCATGTGCTTTTTTACCTTGCCTATGATTTTTTTATGCCATTTTCTGTAAGGCTGCTTCCAGGCTGTAGTTTCCTTTTCAGTTCACTAGCACCCTGCTCATATAAACTGGTAATCTTATAACATTGCTACTTTTAGAAGCAAGTGTGTAAATCTATATTTTATTGCTTAAAATCTACTAAATTCTTTTAAAAGGAAAAATGTCTGAAGTGTACTAAGTTTATTTCCTGTTTCATTTCACATTTCCAATTAAAATGTTGTGCTAAATGTTTGTGTGTGTTTATTCGTATACTGTGTGCTCCAAAAATAATTGGAGATGGATTACCAGCAGGACAAAAACAAAGGGAACAGACCAAACAACCTGCTTCATTAAAAGGATCATAAAGGTAGATAAAATCCAGAGAGCTTTGACTGAAGTAGTTATTACTATTCAGCATTGAACAAATACAAATGAAAAATTTTTCATTGTATAGTTTCATTCAGTGATACAATAAATTAAATCCCTTTTGTCTGGAGAAAAGAAAATATCTTTTGACTCTGAATGCAAACATCTTTATTTAAGACTCTGAGTAACATAACGGATCTTCTTGAAATGCATTGAAGAAGATTGTTTTTTCAGTGACCTTTTCCTGTATTGACTCTTTTTTAAAAACTGGGACAACATGGTTAATTCCTTAGAGTTTCTAAGTATCATAATTTTAATTAAAGCATGACTATATCCAATATTTTTCACTACTGAAAACATTTTAGGGCTCCCTGCTTTTTAAAATAGTATATGTTTTTATGGTTACTCTCACCTTTTCCACCTCCAATTTGAGAAAGACTGGCCAAATTAAAGATATTTTACAGTGTTAAACTTTAAATGTTTCTGTAAAATGTTGACTTTAAGTCTGATTAATAGTTGTAAGATTTTTTTAAATTTTTTATTCCATGAACCTTTGTCTTTTATAGAATAAATTAAAGAATTAATAAATAAGAGAAAAATTAAAAGTCCTCCATTATCTTTAGTGGCCTCTGCTAAAGAGGCAACCACTATGAACAATTTTTTGTCTGTACTTCCAGGGATTTATTTAGGCATAAACATACAAATATATATCTTTTGTTGTAGTTTGTTATTATAAATAGGATTATACTATAATACTGTTTTGCAGGGTTTTTTAAGGATAGTTCTTAGTTTTCTTTATTAATATGTATAGGACCAAAGTGTAAAGCTTTTGGAATATCCAACTGTTTGCCATCATATAGATACATGGAGCGCAGGGTTGTTTTATCCATTAGATTCGTTTTTAAGGAATTCAAGCTAATTTTTTAAAATAATTTAACTATAAAGATTATAATAAAATTAATTTATTCACTCAACAAGTATTTATTGGGTACTACTATGTACCAAGAAATCTTCTAAACAGTCAGGATACAGTGGTGAATAAGATAGATAGGCCGGGCGCTGTGGCTCACGCCTGTAATCCTAGCACTCTGGGAGGCCCAGGCCGGTGGATTGCTAGAGGTCAGGAGTTCACTGACACCATGGCACTCACTCTAGCCTGGGGCAACAAAGTGAGACTCTGTCTCAAAAAAAAAAAAAAAAAAAAAAAAAAAGATAAGGTCCTTCCTCTATGGAGTATACATTCTGGACATACTTAGATAGAAAACTGTTACTGAGACAATTTTTAAATCCAAAAGTAAGTCTTAAACTTATTTCTTATTAAGAAAAGGATGACACTACTTTAGAGTTCCAATCATGTCAGGTTGCAAGACTGGTAACTTTTATAGATTTTTTTTTTTCTCTTAGAGCAATTTCTTGTAAATTGTTATAAATTTCCAGAATTAACACTGTATACGTGTGTGTATATATTTCTAACACTATATACTGTGTATATATATATATGTATGTATGTATATATGTCTTGAATTTTTAATTAAGAAACTAGGGTTTTTTAGTAGTTCTGAAATGGGGGAGGAGACTTAGAGCTTTAGTTTAACTTTCTTGTTTTTGGCATAGAAACTACAACAAATATCAAAATGTGGGAATCAAAGCAAAGCACGATTTCTGCAGGCCTTTTCCCAGACTATCCTTATTTCTTGTTGATCTTTGATTTCATTTTCATACTAGAATCGTTGTAACCTTAATTTGCATTTAATATCAGAGCAGAAGAACTCCAATGCTTTGTCAGAGGTGTAAACTCCAGCCTTCAATTTCATTTCATCTAGATCTTAGAATAATAGCATAACATGCCTAGGAAAAACATATATTTTTGCAGTTCATCAAATTATTCATTAAGCAAACACTTGTAGGGTATATACTTGATACTTTGTTATTTTAAACCAATTTTATGAATTGATAGATAAAATATTTTTTAAATTGGCTTGTGATGTTTGATAAGCCTAAGGGGAAGATCTACTCCGTGTATTTCAGTTAAGTTTTAATGTATCATTCAGGTCACATTTTGGGTAGTTAGGGTGAGAAGGTATTCCCTGTGTTCCAGGAAATTAGCATATTACCAATAAAAACCTTTAAGTATACAAAATATTTAGCCTAGAACGTTTTTGTTAACTTTCTTCTTTCTTATAGATTCCACACCAAATCATCCATCACAAACAACACCAGCCCAAAAGAAAACTCCAAGTTCTTCATCTCGACAAAAAGATAAAGTTAATAAAAGAAATGAACGTGGTGAAACTCCTTTACACATGGCAGCTATTCGAGGAGATGTGAAACAAGTTAAAGAATTAATAAGTTTAGGGGCAAATGTGAATGTGAAAGATTTTGCAGGTAAGACTAGTAACTTAAGACTAATATTCAGAAACAGATCCTGGTTACAGTTTAATCCACATTCTTTTATTTTGCTGAAATGAAAGAGTCCTAAAAGTATTATTACAAAACTTTTGGAGTTTGTATATAAAACCCGGATCTCCGCTACGATTCATGTCAATAATTAGTCACATTTTTACATATTAAACTTATATTTTAGTTGACATATTACCTTTTCTTTACCCAATTTAGGTTCTATTCTAGGTGAATTTGGGTTATATTATTTTTCAAAGTAGTTAATTCATTCATAATTCTTTGAAGAACATTTAACTTGAACACAAAGACTGGGAGAGAATGGTATTGTTATTTTTATTTTCATTACTCAAGTAGCATACCAGTACATTCTTCCTGTAAAGAGTTCTAACAGTAAAAGTATGCAGAGAACAATGTAGAAATTCCCTTTAATTTCACATATTACACCACTCTACCCCTAGTTTCTTTCTCTTCCACAGAAATGTTAAGAATTTGGAGGTTATCCTTACATTACATTTTCATCATCATATATATAAAATGAACATTTATTTATATATAGACTTTTAAAAAATTATATTATCCCACTTTATATCAATCTATAGTTCTGCAACCTGCCTTAATGTCTTATAGATATTTCTCATCAGTATATAAAGTAGGCATACTTCATTTTTAACAGCTACACAATATTTTACAGTATAAATTTCTATAAATAGTACTGTAGTGAAAATCCATATAGAAACATCTTTGTATATAATTATGAAAGTAGTTAAATAGAAGTGAAATTACTAAATCAAAGGAGATGCATATTTAAAAATTTTAAAATAATGGCAGATTGCACACCAAAAAATCCTATATCAATTCACTCTACCATTAATAGTGTACAAAAGAGCTGTTTACTTCACATCATCATCAAAACTTGATATTATCAACTTTATTATTAACAACCTGAAAAATGTGAAAAGACAGATCCCATTTTAATTTGGATTTCTATAATCATAGTGATGATAAACATTTTCCTTGTGTTTATAAGAAATTTATGTGCTTTTTATTTAAATTGCCAGATTCATTCCTTTGCTCATTTGGTTTGGTACAGCTTTTAACATATGAGAGTTAATCTAAATTTTATTTCTCTGTCAAAAGATTTTCACTGTCCATGGCTTATTTTCAGCTCCCTTCATAGTGTTATTTATTATACTATGATTTTATATAATATCAATTGATCTTTTCATTTATGGATTTTTGGTTTGATATTTAAGAACGCCTTCTCAGTGTTATAGGAATAACACCATATCCCTATATTTTCTATTTTTCAAATTTGGTTTGGTTTTGTTTCTGCATGAAGCCCTATTATACATCTGGTATTTATGTCTCTATTTGGTGTGAGTGGGGAAAGGTGTGATAAACAAGATCGACTTCAAAGAATGAGATTTAAAATGTGCATCATCTATTCTAGAAGAAAACTTTATCAGAAACCTAAAATATATATTTTCCCTTTGATCTGATAAGTCCACTTCTAAGGATTTATCTTAAATATTTAATTATGGATGTGCATGAAGATTTGTTGTAAGGATGCTTTTTTGCAGCATTGTTTCTAATATATAAAAACTAGCAATAATCTAGATCCCCAGTAATAAGAGCTTGCTGAAATAAATTATGGTATATTCAGTAAGTACAATACTATGTTGTAGAAAAGTGTAACAACAGAGGGAATTATTTTCATGTTAGTAAGTAGAGGAAGCAGGTTAAGTGTTATCCGTCCAAATTTTATAAATATGTGGGGGAGGGCCACTAGGTATTATGCTGGATTCTTCAAATTATTATATCTGAGTGATGGGATTATGGATAATGTTTATTTTCTTCTTTGTGTTTTTTAATGTTTTTCAGTATTTCTTTTGTGAACATGTAACCTTTTTATTACAAAAGTAATTGAAATGATAATTTTTTTAGTTAAAATAAGTATTAAATCCAGTAAATATTCTATCAGCTTAATAAAATAAAGCCCTTAAAACATAAGGAGTTTTGTTTACTGAAAGACCAGTCAAGCTTATTAATATTTTGCCTACTCTTGCCATTCTTTTTCATAGTTTAGATGATTATAAATTGTATCAAGTTTATGTTTATTGAATAAACTTAAGTATATAATACTTTTGTCATATAATTTAGTCCAGCAGAAATACAGTTGACCCTTGAACAACACTGTGCGAGTCCATTAATATGAAGAATGTTTTCGATAAATATAGGAACATTTTTTGGAGATTTGCAACAATTTTTAAAAACTCGAGGCCAAGACGGGATTGTTTGAGCTCAGGATTTCAAGACCAGCCTGAGCAAGAGTGAGACCCCCGTCTCTACTAAAAAAAATAGAAAGAAATTAGCTGGATAACTAAATGTGTATATATCTATATAAAATTAGCCGAGCATGGTGGTTCATGCCTGTAGTCCCAGCTACTTCGGAGGCTGAGGCAATAGGATTGCTTGAGCCCAAAAGTTTTGAGTTTGCAGTGAGCTATGATAATGCCACTGTGCTCTAGCCCAGGCAACAGAGTGAGACCCTGTCTGAAAAACAAAAACGAAAAATCTGCAAAAGCCATCAAGCCCCAAATAATAAATTCCTGCTGAAGAAAACTGTATCTGGATGTTGTGTATGGCTTCATGGGATTTACCACAGAGCCAGTCTAGGAGATCACAAAAAAGATTGTGGATATGGCAAAAGTCGTGGTGGATGAAGAAGGGTTTCAAGATGTGGATCTTGGAGAAATTCAAGAGTTAATAGACACCAAAACAGAGATAATATTAATAGAAGATGACATGATGGAGATGAGTGCTTCTGAACCATCATCAAGCAATGAGGAAGAAGATTTAGAAGAAGCAGTGCTCGAATACAAGTTGATATTAGACTGGCAGAAGGCTTCCAATTACTCATAACTGTTTTGACTTTTTTGTGTGTGTGTGTGACAATGGACCCTTCTATGATACATGCCTTGAAACTAAGGCAAATGGTGGAAGAAGGAGTGGTGCCATATAGAAACAAACATTTTTAGATAAATGAAAAAGCAAAAAAATTAGAAATTACCATGTATTTCTGTAAAGTTACACAAAGTGTGCCTGTCTCTCCTTCTAATTCCTCCACCTCTTCCACCTCTGCTGCTCCTGAGACAGCAAGACCAACCGTTACTCTCCCTCACCCTCCTCAGGTTACTCAGTGTGAAAATGTCAGGGATGAAGACCTTTATGGTGATCCACTTCCACTTAATTAATAGTAAATATATTTTCTGTTTCTTATAATTTTCTTAGTAATATTTTCTGTAGCTTGCTTTATTATAAGAATATTATATGATACATAAAACATACAAGATACATGTTAATCAACTGTTATTGCTCAGGCTTCCAGTCAACAGTAGGCTATTAATAGTTAAGTTTTAGGTAAGTCAAAAGTTTTATGTGGATTTTCAACTATATGGAGGTTGGCGTCCCTAACCCTTGTGTTGTTCAAGAGTCAACTGTAATATTATATTGAATGAAACTTCAGTAACGGTGGTGGTGTTCTTAGGTATTCATTTGCAGTAGCTGCTGCTTTACTCCTTTTTTGTTTTGTGCTATGTGCAATTGAGAATTCATATATCACACATAGGTATGTATGTGAAAAGCATGTATCTTGAATTAGTGCAAGTGTATCATATGTTAAATTAATATTCTAACTTTAGGTTGGACACCACTGCATGAAGCTTGCAATGTTGGATATTATGATGTTGCTAAGATACTTATAGCAGCTGGAGCAGATGTTAACACACAAGGTTTAGATGATGACACTCCACTCCATGATTCTGCTAGTAGTGGGCACAGAGATGTAAGTATGATAGAAAAAAAAATAATACACGTTTTAAAAATATGAATTCAACCCATAGTAATTTTGTTCATTTTTTAGTTACATGATCTTATGTCATAATTTCATTCACTGCTTGATCAACTCATCTATATTTTATTTTCCCTTTTTTCTGCTAACTACTAATTCATAGATTTAGCCTTTTTTCTTTTTGTAAAATAACCTACTTAATTTGACAATTGATTAAACGGTTTGGCAAAATTTCCATTTCAAGGCATTCTACTATCAGACAACTAGAGATACTGTTTAAAGCATATTTTACATACAATACAATTTTACAGTATTTTGCTGCCTATCTTTTAAAAGGCAATTTTATTTTTCTTTAGTTGAGACAAAAATGGAATTTGGAGTGAAGATTGATACAAGTTCAGTTCTGACTTGGCCGGTTTATTAATATGTGGTCTTGAACAAGTTACTTCTCTGAATCTCCATTTCCTCATCTTTATATAATAATACCTATCAAAAGGTGACATTTTGAAGGAAAAACTGCATGTAAACATATATTGAAATCTAAAATGTTACAGAAATGTCGGGTAAAAGATTTAAAAGCTACCTTTATATTGCTGTATTTTAAATACACCAAAATATTTTAGAACTAAAATTTAGAAATTAAAAATGCATGTTTCTTAATAGTTTTATTTTGAGTGAAGAAAAATGTAGCCTGTAAATACCAGTTTTCCTAAACTGGTCCTTGCTTACTGTTGGACTGTCCTTTCAGTTTGGTTGGCAATTTGTACAAACTTATGTGATAGCACATACTATGTTATTTTTTACTGATATTCTTGTCTTGAGTCAGTTTTCCTGCACTAGACTGTGGAAACCATGCATACAATCATTTTGTGTTGTTTTCTGTTACTAACTCTGGAACTGCTTGTCACATATGAAATGCTCAATAAATTTAGCATGAATGTATGTGTAAGTAGACGGATGGATGAATGGCTGACCAAGAATGAATGCCAAAAAATTAATCCAGAAGGCCTGACGATATATAGGGTGCTTTGCCTGTTTTTCTGAATTTATCAGAAATTGACTTATTTTCTGGCTATGTTATATTTTAAATACTGTACTTTTTGCCCTCTTTAAAGCATTATTACTGATAGTTAACCAAAGATGAATAATTTTCCTTTAAATGTGATATATAAAGATTTCCTCATTCCTAGGTACAATTTAAAGAATTATGCCTATGACTAAGACATGATTTCTATGAGTACAAGTTTCTCAGCGTGCACATAACTGCAAAATATTTCCAGAACCTGACCTTTGAGATCATATATTTACAAGGACTCACACTAGTTCCAGTCTCTTTTCCAGAGGGAGACTAGCATGCTGTTTTCAAGGGACCTTTGCTTTTCCTCCTACTAACATGCCTAGGATAGTAGGAGTCACAATTCAAGAGCTGTTGAGAGCTATTTTGTCCTCGTTGTTTTACTTGTTCCTAAGGAGGAGGGAAATGAGAGCTACCAAAAACTCATTTTTATATATCTGTACCGTGTGTTATGAGCCTCTACCAGGATTTCTTTCGCTTAGTAATAGTCATGACAGCTTCAGCTATCTGTAAAGCATTTCTTAAGGTGGGAAAAGCAAAAAGGTAACAGATCTGTCAGCTCTAAATTATGTAGAGTAAGAGGATTAACATAGCTTATTAAAAACCTAATTTTTGACCCACCATTTGCAAACATGTAGTAGTTCATAATACACACATTTTTACTAGCCTTATTCTCAGTTCTATTTTAGGTACCTTTTTGTCTCATCATTTTTACCTAGTTTTAATTTTTTACCTGTTATGTTTTAACCACTTTGGTATGAGCGTCAACTATAGTCGACAGCCACATATGAACACACACAGCCGAGCATCAACTTTAGCTGACAGCCGTGATGCGACTTTTCCAATTTTTCGTTTATCAAAATAAAATTGTGAACATTTAAAAATAACGTAATGAAAACATATATGTATATGTTACCTATTCTGATTTACATTACAAGTAAAGCTGCTTGTAAAATAAAACAAGCTTTCAGTGCTTTAAAGCTTTCCTCATCACACAAGAGCAAAATGGATTCGTCATCAATGCACAGCACAAACTATCGTGCGGACTACAAGTGCCGGCTGTGGGCAAGGTTTCGCGGCCGGTGAACGCCATACCCAAAGTGCTTAAGCAACTTTACCTTGCCTTCAGTCTTGTTAAGAATAATTGTTTGCATATGCAGATGGTCTGTAAAGTGTTATTTGTTTTAGAGTTTGTGTGATATGTTTGTGCCTGACTCATAGGCATGTAATATTACTGACTTGCTGATGGGTGTAGAAAGCTGTCAGCTATATCAAGATCCTTTATTCTGTTTTCTCATTCTAAGGCTCTAGTCTAAGGAAATAAGCCCCAAAAGGAAAAATTCAACTCATAAAGATTTTTACTACAGTATTATTTATAATGACTAAAAATTTTTTTGCTTCAGTTACCTTCTCAAACCCCCCCATAAATGACAGTAAGGGGAAATTTTAAAGGACATAGACCCACAAAGACAAAGAACAGAAGAAACAGAAAACCAATATTTTAAAATTTGGAAATTAAAGAAATGAGCAGCTACAGACCTAGAACAGGATTTTCTATAAAGCGCTAAATAGTAAATATCTTAGGCTTTGCAGGTCACATACTGCCTCCTCTTCCTCCCTTCTCCCTCTTTCTCTTCTCTCTTCCTTCTCTTTTAACAATCCTTTAAAAATATAAAAACTGTTCTTAGTTAGCAGACCAAATTTGGCCCACAGGCCATAATTTGCCCACCTCTGATTTAGAAGAAACAAGAAAATTGAAAACAAAGCCATTACCGCACAAAATTCTAAAAGAGCTAGAGCTCAGGAATTGATGGCACTAGTTACCTCTAGAAGTGCTCATTAAAATTGGACTGGAGGCTGTGTGGTGGCTCATACCTGTAATCCCAGGACTTTGGGAGGCGAAGGCTGGAGGATCTCTTGAGGCCAAAGGTTCAAAACTAGCCTGGGCAACACAGTGAGATCCCATCTCTACAAAAAATTAAAAATAAAAACATAGCCAGGAGTGGTGGCTCATGCCTGTAGTCCCAGTTACTCAGGAGGCTGTGGCAGGAGGATCCCTTGAGCCCAGGAGTTGGGAGGCTTCAGTGAGTTATGATCCTCAGCACTGCACTCCAGCCTGGTAAACAAAGCAAAACCCTGCCTCAAAATAAACCCATACAGGACTAGAAATAGGGGATTGGATCAAAGTATTTTTGGCCCTCATATCCCTTTCCCAAGCCCAGTGATTCCCAGCCCAATAATTGCACCTCTCCCACCTGGTGGATGACTTGAGATATGGAGATAAGTGTTCGGGATGATTGTTCTTCCTCAGCAGACTTGGAAAGCTAGTTGATCTTTTAAAATTATAAGCTTGTATAATTTGATAAAAATTAATAAATAAGGGAATAAAATAATAGTTGAGGATCATGAGTAATTTGTTTTCTTTATATATTCTTGAATTTCAAACTTTCTATAATCTAGAAAAAATTTTCATTCATTGTGAATCTTCATTATTAAATTCTTTGATTTGTTAGAAATTCCTATTTTAAATGCATTTACCTTTAATGGCAAATGAAGTTACTATTCATCTGTTTCATGTTACTCATTTAAACACTCCTTAAAAAGACATGATACATTTTCTAATTACCAGAAAACACAGTTATGTGTTGGGAATATAGAGATGAATAAAGACTTGATCTGGTATGAAGCTTATAGTCTAGAATAAGGGGGGGAAATGCGTTAATAAACTGTAGTATGGGTTTATGTTTGATAGCACACATCAGTCATTGGAAGTAGACAAAGGATCAAAAACGAGATGGTAGGGAGGCAGAATCAATTATGCTTGGCCACCTCTTTGATGAAGAATATGAGTGAAGAAGAGTTGTTGATGACTCCCAGGTTTCTGGCTTTAGTGATTAGGCAGATGTTGATGTCAGTCAAGAGAATGGAAACAGATAAAAGAACAGGGTAAAAGTTTAATGAACTCTATTTGTGTCCTATTAGGCATTTGTGTTACAGTATACATATAATCAGTTGGATGTATCCAATAAGTATAGGAAGATTTGGATTTGGAGCTTGAAAGCTAAGAGAGCAAGCAAGAGAATAAAAATGAATGAATAGATTGCATAATTGTCAATTCAGACAAAGTGTTTACTCCAAGGAGATGATACATACTTGAGCATGAGAAGGTAGATCAGAAACGGTGCTGTAGGGAAACCATCATTGGTTTAGATATGTACAGCTCTTAGAAGAAGAGCCATTTTATAGGATTGATGGTAGCAGAGTTGTAGGTAGAAGAATGAAGTGTCAATAGAAAGTCATGGTTGCGACGGCAAACATCTGTTTAGAATCCTGACTTGTGAAGAAAAGAAAATTTAGCTAGGGGATGGGGATGTTATGTTTAAACAAAATTTCTTATTTTGCCTGTATATCAATTCTTTATTGCCATTTTTTTTAAGGTAAAAGAGACATGCACTAGAAAGATTGGCTTCTAGAAAGGAGCCAATCAAAAAGAGGTTAAAAAATATAGAAAGGAAGAAGATAAAGAAAAATAAAAGCAATGAAATGGTGACTGACTGATCCTAATTATGTGGAGCCTGAAGCTTATATAATCGTATTTGGTGGGGAGTCTGACTGATGCCTATAGTCCCAGCACTTTGGGAGGCAGAGGCAGGAGGATTACTTGAGGCCAGGCGTTCAAGACCAGCCTGAACAACATAGTGAGACCCCCTTCTCTACAAAAATTTATAAAAATCAGCCTGATGTGGTCGTGTGCAGCTGAGCCCAGGAGTTCAAGGTTGCAGTAAGCTATGATGATGCCACTGACCTCCAGCCTGGGCAATAGAGTGGTGTCTCTTGGAGGGAAAAAAAATTAAAAATAAATAATTTTGTGGGTAAGGAATGAGGGCCTCTTTGAGAAAAAATTCAACATCATGAATACAAAATTAGATAGAGACCTGTAAGGGGCCTGTGAAAGTAAAGGGCCTTGAAATTTAAGCTTTGTTAATTCTTAGTTTTTGTTTTTCACTCTTTTTTTTTTTTTTTTTTTTTTTTTTAGATACAGGGTCTTGCTATGTTGCCCAGGCTGGTCTCAAACTCCTGGACTCAAGCATTCCTCTCACCTCAGCCTCACAAAGTACTGGGATTCTAGGCATTAGCAAGTGTACTTGGTACTAAGCTTCATTAGTTCTAAGTAAATTGACATGAGTTAATAATGATAGTTAAAATTCCTGGGAGATGGAAAAGAGTAAGATTAAGATCATTGGTAGTGATATTAGCCTTAAGCAGAAGGGAAATACTTCCTTTGAGATTCCTTCTAGAATATAAATTTCAAGAGGCCAGAGAGCTTGTTGGTTATTGTTAATTGATTTATCAGCAGAACTTGAAACAGTACTCACTAATAGGTACTCAATAAATGTTGATTTTTGTGATGAAACAGGAAGAAAAGCAATGTGATTAAATGCTAAAATAACCCAGTGAAAATTTTAAGAAAGAAGTTTCTTTATAGTTGATAAAGTCATCAGGTTGGGGGTCAGGATGTCAGTGAATAGGGAATTTGAAGAGGATAATCATTTAGAATATTTAGAATAGAGGATTTAGATTTAGAATCTAATCATTTAGAATAGAGGATAATCATTTAGAATAGGAATGGATGCAGAGTAGTTGAGATAACAGAAGAGTGTTAGGGATATTATCAAGAGAATGGTCAAAATGATACAATCTGTGAAGGGACTAAATCTTCCTACTATTTAATGTTACAGATAGTGAAACTCTTACTTCGTCATGGTGGAAATCCATTTCAAGCTAATAAACATGGGGAGCGTCCAGTGGATGTAGCAGAAACAGAGGAGTTGGAGTTGCTACTAAAAAGAGAGGTGCCTTTGTCTGATGATGATGAAAGTTACACAGGTTTGTTTCAGATCATCTACATTCGACTGTTTGACATGGTATTTGATAGAATATTCAAATTGGTTTAAGAATACATAAAATGTTTAAGTACCCTAGAATAATGCTTACCTATTAGCTAAACAACGATGAAGTTAGTAACCTCAGTATTTGCTACACATACCTTGTGTGAATGGAGTCATAATGACAATGCCCTATTTCTATATTTTTCCACATAAATTTCTCAACTATTCCTTTATTACATTCAAACCTACTGCATAATCTTTCCCCAAGCGTAGCTACCACAACTGCCGCTCTGACTTCTTTTCATCCTTTTATTCGTTAGGAAGCTACTAACCAAACCTTTGATACCTTTTCTTGTCATTCATGAGTCATCTTTGCAATTTTACTTCTGTGATTTAGATGGTTGAATTCTGGTCATTGTTGCAGGGTAGGGACAGTTTCTTTACAGTTTTTTAAAAAGAAAGATCCAAAAGAATATTTTAGAAGGTTTTTGGTGTATTTGGATTTAAAGAAACATAAACAATTAAAAATATAACAGAAAAAAAATCTTTCTATGTTAAAGAATCTTTTTATACAGATTGGAGGATTTAACCGTATTTCAGGCAAAAATCAATGAAAAAGAATTTTATCAGTCTTACAAATGGCCTTGCCCTCACAAAATCTTAAAAATTCCTGTAGGCAATTAGGTAATGTTAATTTTATATTACATTACACATGACGGAATGAAAAATAAACCATATTCATTTTAAACTCAACCATTGCTACAAGGCAGTAGAACAACATCTATAGTTTTGAGGCAGAAAGTTCTACCCTTTACTTTTATATAATATAGCAAATTATCTTCTGCATAGAAAGGCAATGGAAAGAACACACCTTCTGATAATAACATCTTTTATTCCCTTGTTGAGAAAAATTTAATTCTAGATACACTTTAACTGATTAAGAGATGCTAAATTATGAACAAATGAATAAAGTCATGGAATAAAAGTTTGGCAGAGATCACTAACTCCAAGAGAGATGTCTAAATAACTGTGGTAAATATTGTCAAATTGACTATAAATAATAAGATCATGTTTTAAGGAAAAATGAAAAAGTAATCTATTTAAAGTATTAATTTAAATATACACATTTGAAATCATATATATTAATTTAGAAATACCAAATTAAACTAACAGCATTTGAAGAGATGACAAAAGTATGATAAACTTATGTTTCAGATTGGGAAGGTTAAATGATAGCCATTTTTCTGTGATAGTTGAAAAAATAACAGTTAAATGCTTTGAAAACAGAAAAGCAAAAATTTACAGTATTAACATTAGATAAAAAATTAAAGCCAGAAAATATTGCTTGGCAAAAAGAGGGTAATTTGTAATAATAAAGGGCATATAATACGAAGCAAAGGTAAAATTTTATTGCCTTATGAAACACCAGATAACATCATCCAAATATATAAAGCAAAAATTGTTAGAAATATAAGGCAAAATTGACAGAAACACGGTACTAACTGAAAACTTTTAACAGTTTTAACATCATATATAACTCCTTATTAAACAGAAAGTCTCAAAATTGTAGACATTGTATGCATAACCATTAGTACTTATGATATGAAGCTGAAATTATGCTATCTTCAGTAAAAGTTCATAGTTATCATCATTAAACTTACTAAGAATGAAAATAAATGAACTTAGGAAGTTAGGAGGAGGAAGAAAGAATAGATCCAAAGATAAAAGCAAGATATTAATAAAGAGCAAAATTTAATGATTTAGAAAACTTTCTAACAAACAAAATTTTTAAACAAAATATTATAGCAGAATGAAACCTTGAATTGCTTGTCTAACATGATTAAATAGACAAATGTCTAGCATATCTGATCAAGGAAAAAGAGTGGAAATTCACAAACATCCTTAGAGAGTAAGAAAATTTATAGAGCCACAAAATGTAAAAGAGTTTTTCAGACTTTAACAGAATACTGTATATAGATCTTACCAAAAAAAAAAAAAAAATTAAAAACATAGGCCCGGTACAGTGGCTCACATCTGTAATCCCCAGCACTTTGGGAGGCTGAGGCAGAAGTATTGCCTGAGGCCAGGACATCTAGACCAGCCTGGGCAACATAGTGACACCCTATCTCTACAAAAAATGCAAAAATTAGTTGAGTGTGGTGGTATGCACCTGTAGTCACAGCTGCCCGGGATGCTGAGGCAGGAGGATGACTTGAGCCCAGAAGTTCAAGGTTGCAGTGAGCTGTGATTTGTGCGACTGCATTACAGCCTGAGTGACAGAGTTAGACCCTAACGACCCTATCTCAAAAAAAAAAACCACCTTAAATGATAACACACACAAACTTGGAGCAAGGTACAAATTGTCATGCTGTTTTAACTTGTCTACAAGTATAAAAGCATAAACAACTTCTTTCTTTTTTTAATAAAGCTAATAAAATTCTGATACTTATCTCTGGGATAGGAGGCCTACAAATAGAAAACCACAGAATAGTTTCCATTTTAACATCATGCCTAACATACAGAAAATACTCAATAAAAACTGCCCTATAAAATTGGTAAAGATGTTTTTTTAAATAGTATTCAGATGTTGGTGAGTTTACAATGAAGCTGGCATCATACACTATTGTTGAGAGTGCTTTCTGGAAAATAGTTTGTTAATAAGTGTGAAAAATTCATAAAGATGTAACCAGAGATGCTGACTATATATATATATATATATATATGTTAACATATCTGTTAACATAGTAGTGCTTATAATAGCAAAAAATTAGAATAACCTAAATGCCAAAAAATGAGCAGTGAAATAATTTTAAAAGTATGTGTATGTTGTGCAACCAGTGTGTTTATAAATTTTTCTAATGATATGGTACCTTCCATATACTGTACATACCAAAATATAAGGTAATCTACATACTATAAGAATTAAAAAATTAGAGAAGTTTTGTGACCTAGTTGAATAAACTATATAGTAATATAGATAAAGTAGATTTCTATTTAAAGTATTAATTTAAATATACACATTTGAAATCACATATGTATTAATTTAGAAATACTGTTTTCTTCTCCATCTTCTCTTATGAAATGGTTTTTAGTTGTTGTGGGGTTTTTTTGTTTTTGAGACAGGGTCTCGCTATGTTGCCTAGGCTGTCCTCGAACTCCTAGACTGGAGCAATCCTCCTGCCTCTGCCTCCCAAGTAGCTGTTACTACAGGTGCATACCAGCACACTGGGCTTGAAATGTTTTTTTAAAAACTGTTCACATATATTTTGACGACATTGTTTTCATCATCATCAGAACCACCTTTTAACCATCTAATGGTTTTTCATCTTAAATTCCATATACACTCTCATATACATAGCACTTTTGAAATCCAAGTATATGATACTGCTATGGGAAAATTAACCCAAATTATAATTACCCATTTACTATTTTGTTTTCTCTATAACATCACGTACACTACTGTGTTTTAAAATCTCCACAACATAGAGCAAAAATACAAAGAGAGTCATGAAAAGAAATACAGACATCTTAGGGAATAGATCAGGAGACCTAACAGAGCTAACATGTGAATAATAGGTATTTATAGGAATTTTAAAGGGAGAAAAACAAAGGATAGACAATAAATATACAAATAATAGAAGGAAACTTTTCTGAGCTAAAAAAAGCCTGAGGCTATCAGGTGTGAAGCTCATTGAGCTCCAGATGGGTTGATGAAAACAGACATGCGTACCTCTAGACATACATTGATCAAATTCCTTAGCTCTGAAAGTAACAAGTTACCTACCAAGAAACACTGCCAGATTGGCATTCTAATTTGTAGCAGTGAAAGACCAGACTGCTGAAAGAAAAGAGCCTCAACATAAGAGTCCTGTACCTGACCAAGGTATTATTCACACTAATATGTATATTTTCTTACATTTTTTAAAAAAAAATAATGGAATAATAAGCCAACAACTTATAAAGTGGTTACCTAATAAGGGAAGAGTTAAAAAGGAAGATATATGAATTACCATCTTTTCAAAAACTAGTCTGGCAACAGCTAACAAATACAAGAGCCCTTATTCATTTTAGAGATATGTACTGAAATATGTGTGGATGAAATGATAGGGTATGAATGGGATGTTTCAAAATGATACAGGGATGGGTAAATGGAGGTGTAAATTGGTCAAAGATTGATGGTTCTTGGAGCTTAGAATGTGTTTATAACTTTTTTGTAAGTGCAAAATTTACCATCACAAACATGTTCTTAACCACTTCAGTACAAGCATCAACTATAGTCAATAGCCACAGATGAACACACACAGCCGAGCATCGACTTTAGCCGACAGCTGTGATATGACTTTTCTAATTTTTCATTTATCAAAATAAAATTGTGAACATTTAAGAGTAACATAATGAAAACATATATGTATATGTTACCTATTCTGATTGACATTACAAGTAAAGTTGCCCATAAAGTAAAACAGGCTTTCAGTGCTTCAAAGCTTTCCTCATCACACAAGAGCAAAATGGATTCGTCGTCAATGCACACAGTACAAACTATTGTGCGGACTATGAGTGCCAGCTGTGGGCAAGGTTTTGTGGCCAGTGAGTGCTATACCGAAGTGGTTAAAAATACTTATTCTCACTTCTGGTGATATCTCATGTTTATTATAGCACTCTTTTTAGAGGCAAAAACACCATATAAGTAAGCATCACTAGGGGATTGGCTGAATAAATCAAAGTATAAGCATACCATGGACTTTTACACAGCCATGAAAAAGGATGTCAGTACTGTTTTTGGAGTTGCAGTTACTAGTAGAGATTTTCATAAGACATTGTTGAATAGAAAAATGAAAATGAATAGTTATATCTCATTTTTATAAAATGAAGTTTTTAAAATCTATATATGTTTGTGTAAAATTTTATGAGCATAGAGCAAAATCTGGAAGGAGGTATACCAGGCTGCTAATGAGACATGTGTTGAGGGGCTAGTGGCAGAGGAGGTAATGATTTAGG